CAAATTTTCTCAACAAATTTTAGGGAAAATAAAGCATCAAAAAAATGATCAATGACCAGAAAAATGATGACAAAAAATGGAATTATCAGTCTGTCGGGAAAATAATGGACACAATGTCGCTACGTCGCTGAAGTGAAAGGAAATTTGATTTTGCCGCGACACAATTCATTTTTCTCGGCGGCGTTACGATTTTCGATGCGACAGGGTGCTCATTACTTTCCCGACATACTGATATGTAGCGACCAAAAAAATTTACCATTTAGCATCCGGGAAGCGTCAAAAATGTAGCAAAATACCTCCTTCTCCAAGTGAAAAAACTTTGATTTCAAAATTAGTTGGAGAGGGAGTCATTTTGCTTCATTTTTTGATACTTCCTGGATGCAAAATGGTACATTTTTTGCCACTGGATCAGGTCCGCCACTGTACCTCGGCGCAAAAAGCCCTGGGAATTTGCACAGTGCGGTATTTGGCGCGTCGCTCTGCACAGTGAATTTTGAATTTTTGGCCTTACATCGCGCGATTCCCCCTTACATCGCGCGATTCCCATTTTCCGCAGCGACTGATCATACTTTTCAGTATGCGACAGAACTCGGCGATACATTTTTAGCACTTTTGCGTTGAACAGTTTACAAATTTGTAGGTGTAAAGTTCACAGTAAACTTTGTTAAAATTGAGGTCAATTTTTTTGCTTATTATATATTTGAAAACCTTTGTAGGTTGCAGTGTAAAGTCCGTTAATCATGTTCTACACCGTGCAAAAAAACTATCGCCGTTTTGCATGGCAGTGAAAAAATAAAAAAAAAACTCGGAGTAACAGAACCACGGCAGTCATAAAAATGAATCTTGATTCATTTAGAAAACTCAAAGTTTTCAAACAGCAAAGTTGTCATCTCTGCGATGCAGTAACCACCTATAAATCTCATTTTTCTTGTACAAAAACACATTTGTTCATATGCAATTATATAAACACCTCTAAGAATTGAAATCCAATATCGCAAAAACAGCTAATACAAATGCAAATTGCAATAACTGACACCTCGGAAAAAGTGTAAACATTGTGCATTAGAAAACCACATGAGGCCCTCGGCATTTGAATAATACGAGCGCAAACGAAAGAGGCAGGAGAAAAATAAAACTGGAATTTATAATGAAGCCATGCGGCAGATACGTGCGCTAATTAAAAAAAAACTGGAACGAAACGTTGCCATAGTATGAGCTTTGAAGGAATTGGAAAACAAGCAGTTCCAGAGTTTTGAATGGCATGGGAAGGGCTTGAAATTAAAGACCTACCATCTTGTTTGGACCTGAGGCAAATATAATATAATTTTTTGTGAGATATATTGGAGGTTTGTAGCCTTGGACTTTGCCAAAACTACCGAGATTTTTAGTCAAAAAACGCTGAAATTTTGGCAGTTCTTTTGACCTTGAAAGATTTCAGGCAAACTTTCACCGGACATGACAACTTTTCTACAAAAAAAATTTATTTTTTTCTGCGTTCGTTCGAAAGGTCGCTGGAGTGACTTCAGCGACCTGCACTGCCCAAGAAAGCTCGGGGTGCGAGCGACGGACAAAAAAAAAAGTCATTTGCACTGTGCAAGGTGAAATTTTGTTTTTTATGTACAGTGCATGCCGCCGAAATTTCCTCCAAAAATTTTCCTAACGGAGTATCAGTCTGTCGGGAAAATAATGTGGATTTGCCACAGCAAAAATGGCCTCGGCGCTATCACCACTAGAGGTGGCAATCGGCTGGGCCGGCCTGATCGCTTCGGCCCGCGGGCCGGGCCGACACTTTCGGCCCGGCCCGGCCCGGAAGGTAGATAAGTAAAAAATTTTTAACGCTAAACCGGCAAAATAAAGTACAAATGCTTTGTAGAATGGATGGAAATTAGATTAAACCTTTTTTGACTTATACGCTGTTTTACTACCCTTTAAAATTATGTATGTGTAACTTATTATGTATATGTAAAATCCCACCCAAATATGTAAGGGTCGGGCAAAAGTCTTCGAATTTTTTTATGATAAATTTAAAAATTTCACTGTAATTTTGAATCCTCGATGTAAATAAAAGTGTTTAATCAGTTTTTGGTTAACCACGTCGATAATTTTATATAGCTAACTTCCTATAGGATTAAAAAATTCAACACAATCCAACTTTTTGGCTAGATTTTAGCTACCTGTACGGATGTTCCAGTCATCCGACTAGACTTTTTAATCTCATGTAGACACACGTAAAAACCTTCTGGAAAGCATAAGAACTTCCAGTAGAAAGTGCAAAGACTTTTATCCAACTTTTCTGTATTAGCGGGCCAAACCGGGCCGGGCCGGGCCGGCCTGGGCTTTCACCGGGCCGGGCCGGGCCTGAGCAAATTTGAAAAAGCCCTGGGCCGGCCTGGTCAATTCGGCCCGCGGGCCGGGCCGGAAAAATCGGCCCGGCCCGGCCCGATTGCCACCTCTAATCACCACTAAACTTCCGGCCGCGGATAGCCGTCGCAAAGTGATGATGGGCGATTCTAAGGCGCAATGAATCCACATTATTTTCCCGACAGGTACAAAAATGTTCTTTTATACGCAAAATTCGCAAACGCCGAGCATAAAAAAGTCAAGAGAATACGTTAATGTTTTTAGCAGTCCCAAAATTGTACGTAAGAAAAGGCGCTTTTAAAAACTCTTTGCTGCCAGTTTTGCAGGCAATATAAAATTTATTATCAAACTGCAAATTCGGCAATAGAAAATTTATTATCAAACCCCAAATTCGGCAGCCCCCTTGTCGTTCTTTACACTCACAAAAAATAAAGGCCGTGCGCTTTAGCCTTTCGTGTACACAGGCCGGTTAGAATAATGTAATCACTCGAAACCCCGACCTGTTTTCCTGTTGTCGTCCAGAAAATGGCGTCAACAGACATGCACAACGATTGCACAAGAAAATAATTACGAGTTTGAAACATTAGCAATGGCAGTTACAATTCTGCCGAAGAAAAAGAAATATTACTTACAAAGCAAAATTATTAGCCACGATACATTTTCCGGGCTAAAAATAACCCCAGTTTTTGTTGCTCAATTATACATAAAATATGTACAATGTGTGTAGAAGAGGAGGAATTGTAATACCTCTCTAAATACAGAAACGATGGAAGTGTTATTGGAAATGTTTTAATTGGGAAATTAGTGTGTTTAGATTGTTTTTTATCCATTACAGGTGTTTTTCCTGAAAAAAATAACAAACATTCAACAAGGAAATGTACGGAAAAGGACGTTTCCATACACACTAGCAGTCTGTCGGGAAAATAATGAGCACAATTTCGCATCGAAAATCGCATCGCCACCGAGAAAATGAGTGTCGCGGCAAAATCAAATTGTTTTTCACTTCAACGACGCCTTTCTTCGGCGAGGCGAAACGTTTTGCTGCGATGACCGACCACTATTTTCCCGACAGACTGATACGAAAAAAGACAAAGTCACTGAGATTTACACATTGTGCTTTGACCGCTTTTCCTTTGTAGCTGACAGATATAAGAATAATAAAAAGTCTAGTGGGCCTGAAAAAAGTACGACAATCTCAATTATACGTGTATGGCCTCATTAGCCCTTATTACAGCTCCTCAAGGATGTATTTTGATCGGCCCTCCCAAGTGTACTTTCGTGCAAAACTGTTGTAATGTTCTTTTTTTCAACCAATAACAAAACAATTCAAAAGTTATCAGTGATATTTCAGCGGTAGGTTATAAAAGATGGTCTTCACACGTGATGCAGTTTTTGTGTGTCTTTCAGTCTACTCAATACACAATGCAATAACGATATGCAACATGGCTTTATCCATGTCTGCCCTTCTAGATTACATAGACGTCTACAAGATCAAATTATAAGCATAAGAATGTAGGTCGTTTGTGGGCGTAAAAACAAGTTTTGCAAGAGCCTCGAGCTATGCACAAAAAAATACAAAATATCACAGTAAGAACATGGAACATATAGCATGGTAAATATTTACCAAATAGAAATTCATAAATTTTCTGAAAATAAGGGTTTTGACCTCTTATTGTGGCGGGCGCACACTTGCGGGCAACCACTTTGCGGGCAACCAGTTTGCGGGCAAATTTTTTGCGGGCAGCCACTTTGCGGGCAGCCGACATTTGCGGCCAGCACCGGCATTTGCGGGCAGCCTGGGACATTTGCGGGCAGGGTCGACAGTTGCGGACAGCCTGGAAGATTTGCGTGCAGCCGACATTTGCGGGCAACCGACACCTGATTGTGAGGGTAACAGGGTGGACGTGGAAAAATTACTATGATATTTTGGAAATTTGCCGACATTTGCGGGCAGCCGACATTTGCGGGCAACCGGCACTTGATGATAACAAGGTAGAGGTGGAAAAATTACTTCGATATTTTGGAAGTTTTCCGACATTTGCGGGCAGGCAATACTTGCGGGAAGCCGACATTTGCGGGCAACAGTTCCAAAAGTACCAATACAGTCTGTGTGATTGTTTTTTCCTGTTGCCCGCAAATGTCGGATGCCCGCAAGTGTCGGCTGCCCGCAAGTGTCGGCAAATTTCCAAAATATCGCAGTAATATTTCCACCTCCGCCCTGTACCCCTCAGGTACCGGTTGCCCGCAAATGTCCCAGGCTGCCCGCAAGTGTCTCAGCTGCCCGCAAATGTTTCAGCTGCCCGCAAATGTGACCCCCCAAATTTTGCCCGCAAAGTGGTTGCCCGCAAGTGTCGCGACGCCCTTATTGTCGTTATCTCTCTGGACTACGGGGCAAAAGCTAAGGCAGAAAACACGGTTCCGAGAAGGCAGGCGTCTCTGTGCAAACAAGGTCAATTCCCTATCGGGAAACCTGCTAGAACAACTGTGTTGGAGAATGCTCGAAGCCCAGAAGACGTCACAAAATTTACATTACGTATATGGACTCAAATTTAAGTAATGAACCTTTATCGTCGATTTCATAGAATCTATAACAAGTAAGAAGTAACATTGAAAGTATGGGTAGGAAGATCTTTGGAGCGTTATCCGCCCCCGCCGTTACCACCGTTGTTGCCACCGTTATTTCCGCCGTTATTTCCGCCGTTGTTGCCACCGTTGTTTCCGCCGTTGTTGCCTCCGTTGTTGCCGCCATTATTACCGCCATTATTGCCACCGTTGTTGCCTCCGTTGCCTCCGTTGTTACCTCCGTTGTTTCCTCCGTTGTTTCCTCCATTATTGCCTCCGTTATTACCTCCGCCATTGTTGCCCCCATTATTATTCCCACCGTTATTTCCTCCGTTGTTGTTTTGTCCGCATGTCCCACAAGTCTGTGGGCATTCCTTGGCCATGAAACTTTTGTAAGCCTAAGAAGTTTCTCTCAAAGTCATCGCAAGATCTTACCCTATTTTCGCAGAGATATTTGCTCTTGGCGCAGTCGGGTCCACCGTCGTTGCAACCGCCGCCGCCGCCACCATTGCCGTTGCCATTTCCGCCGTTGTTGCCGCCGTTGTTGCCACCGTTGTTGTTGCCGCCGTTGTTGTTGCCGCCGTTGTTGTTACCGCCGTTGTTGTTGCCTCCACCATTGTTACCGCCACCGTTGTTCCCGCCATTGTTGCCTCCGTTGTTGCCGCCGTTGTTACCTCCATTATTCCCGCCGTTGTTGCCACCGTTGTTGTTGCCTCCGCCATTATTCCCTCCGTTATTACCGCCGTTGTTGCCTCCGCCGTTATTTCCTCCGCCATTGTTACCACCGTTGTTGCCTCCATTATTGCCTCCGCCGTTATTATTCCCTCCGTTGTTGTTGCCACCATTGTTATTGCCTCCATTGTTGTTACCGCCGTTGTTGTTGCCTCCATTATTGTTCTGACACTTGTTGCAAGTTTTGGGACATTGATCTTTCATCAAGTCTTCATAAATCTGAAAATCACAGTGAGCAAGTAAAGTTAAAGTATCCAGTTTTTAGATTCCTACAGAAGATCAAGCCCTCAACCTGTGAGAGCTCATGAAGTATCAATGTGTCGGGAAAATAGTGGCAGGTCGTCGCAGCGAAATCAAAAAGATGGTGGACCAAATCTCAAGCTGTGGCTAGCCATCTCAAAACGATGATAAGTGATTCCAAACCGCGAAAACAGGCTACTATTTTCCGACAGATTGATATTTGGTCATTTACGTATAATGTTATAAGTCTGTCGGGAAAATAATGAGCACTCTATCACATCGAAAATCCGTCGAGAAAATGAATTTTGTCGCGGCAAAATCAAATTACTTTTTTACTTCAGCGTCGCGATAGGCACAGCGGCATTTTGCTCATTATTTTCCCGACAGAATGATATTATGTTTTCAGATTCTTACAGAAGAATACCAGGTCTATATTCTCTGAGAGTTCAGGAAGTATTTGGTCATTTACTAGAGGTGAAACTCGGGTCGAAAATCGCCCCGGTCCGGCCCGGATGCCATCTTTACTCATTTACGTAGTATACGTGTAAACAAATATAAGTACGTACAGATATGCACAACCCACCTTGTTATCGCAAAGGTCCTTCCTCTGCGGGCATTCCCATCCCTTATCGTTGCAATCTTGCCCGATCACATAGTCGAAATTATGTAGGCACAAAAGCACGGAGAGCAGCACAATGAACATGGCTTGAATAACCCGACCATTGCTCACTCGGTCTATTTAAATTTGGGACTACGCGGGGTTGAGTAAGTCAAATGTATTCGCACAGTTGTGCAAACATGACCTAACGTATTCTGTTGGCTGTTCCCGTCGTAGGCGGCGCACATTGGACGGTTGATGTGTTGGAGCCGATTTCCCAGGGGTTTGGCGAACAAAGCCGTTGTCTTCTAGCCAGGGAATGGGTTCAACTTTCTCCAGTGTTCTAAAAAACGACGCTACAGGCGGATACACGGTACCGTGGCGGACCTAACCTAACCCAGTGGCAAAAAACGTATCATCTTGCATTCGGGAGGTATCAAAAAATGTAGCAAAATGATCCCCTCTCCAATTAAAAAAATAAGTCTTGAAGGGCTCCCTCACAAAAAGGGCGGGCGCGCTTTTGAAATCGGAACCTTTTCACTTGGAGAGGGAGGTATTTTGCCGCATTTTTGATACTTCCCGAATGCAAAATGCTCATTTTTTACCTCTGAATCAGGTCAGCTACTGGTCAACTGTGGAAAGAAAGGTCATCATAGCTTACGTCGCAGCGATATTTCAAATGCACAGTACAAAACTAGAAAAAGGTGAGTGCACGGTGCAAAAAATCGTGGATTTCTGTGCACGGTGCGGGCCGCGACAAATGTCCGGGCACTTTGTGAAAATGCTAATATTTATAATTTTTATTAACAGGGGAAGTACCCAAGTGCGAAGCTCAGATTTTGATGAAACTTGGCACAAATTTAGAAAAATTTTTTCCAAAATAAATGCGAAAACCTTAGCTCGCGCTTTACAGAAACAACCGAGATTTTTAGATCGAAAGTCGACGAAAATTAAAGACTTTTTACCGAATTTCGGCACGAAAAGTTTCATGTCTATTTCTACCGTAAAGGGTAACGCCTATACAAAAAATCAATCTTTTCCGCACGAAACTAGCAATGTTATGGCCAAAAAGCGTTTTCCTCTCTGACCGCTCTCCGCTTTTAGCGCACTCTCTCGGCGGCAAAGATGCTTCAATATCTCGGTGGCGCTTGCAAAGCGCAAGCTAAAACTTTCAGGAATTGATACTTAGTTCATGACCGACGGTGTGCAAAATTTAAAGAAAATCTGAGCGTCGCACTTGGGGTACTTCCCTTGTAAGTCCATGTGTTGGAAAACAGGAGATGCTTTTATTTCTTTTATTGCGCAAGACTGTATGTTTATGATACATTTTCATTCTTTATCAATTTTTTTTTCATTGTTATATATTATATTATATATTTATACTATTTTTTCGAAACATTCGAGAAAAAAAATTTAGCGAAGAAAAAAATCCATCTGAGTAAATACCCAGATACGTACGACTCAACAAATTTTCGACATCTGCACAACCTACAATTTCCTTTGTCGTCAGGCACGTAGAATATCTGAAACACAGACAGTATTTTGAAATAAAAATTTAAAGTAAAGAGCGATAAATTTCACTAGCGAAATCAGATGAACTTTGATTTGCGCTTTATTTGACGCAAATCAGGAAAATTTAAGTTTGTGCTCAAATGTTTGCTTCAGCTGCGTTTGAAGAGAAGAATCGGGAATTGGAATAACGTCAGGTGCACCCGTTGGATAAGCCGAAAGATCATGGAAACCGGCTGGATGACCTGCAGATCATAAATGACGCATAGTTAGGCCGATGAGAAACAAAGAAGGGATCAAAACATTTGTTCGTTACAGACATGTTTCGTTTTGCGGAGGTTCAGTTTACAAGGGAAGTACCCCAAAAAGACTCTTACTAGTCGTTCCAGAAAGTGCGTGGACTTTTTGCACAGGCCGCACTGTGCACAAAATTCCCTTTTCGTTGGGTTCATTTGACCTTTCGCACCGTGCAAGTGCATTATCGTTGCTACGTAAGCTTTTTTCAACTGACAAGGGAAGTACTCCAAGTGCGACGCTCAGATTTTCTTCACACACGTCGGGTTTGGACTAAATATCAATTCCTGAAAGTTTTAGCTTGCGCTTTACGGACATCGCTGAGATATCAAACGATTTTTGCCGCCGAGAGAGCACGCGAAACATGGAGGGCGGTCAGAGAGAAAAGCGCGTTTTGGCCATAACTTTGGCAGTTTCGTGCGGAAAAATTTGATTTTTTGTAGAAACATTATCCTCTACGGTAGAAATAGGCGTGAAACTTTTCGTGCCGAAATTCCGCAAAAAGTCCTAAATTTTGGCAGACTTTCGATCTAAAAATCCCGGTTGTTTCTGCAAAGCGCGAGCTAGGATCTTCGAATATATTTTAGAAAAAAATATTCTAAATTTGTGCCAAGTTTCATCAAAATCTGAGCGTCGCACTTGGGGTACTTCCCCTGTGAGCCGGCGCGAATTTTTATGTACATTGCACAATGCAAAATGTATCGAAAAGGGTCTAGTCGCGCGAAACATACTTTTGGGAACGACTATCAGCTCAGGCTTTGCATAAACAAACGAGATTTTTAGATCGAAAATCAACAAAAATGTTACCCTTTCACAAAAATTCGTGATGATCTTGCTGTAAAAAACTTCGTATTTATCTCTACCGAGAAACCAATGGACACGATGCGGATCGCCGCAAGTGTCCAGGCACTTTGTGAAAATGCTAATATCCACACAAAATTTTATCCAAATTTATGTCATTTCATCAAAATCTGAGTGTCGAAACTCGACCACCTCCCCTCCAAAATCAAAAAAAAATCATTCCAAATCACACTACATCTCATGAATTCAAGATCGCTTTTGTTACAAGCTACACAGCCTACCGGATTTACGCAACGAATGGGCAAACAAACCGATCATAACCCAAGCCGGGGACAAACAAAATCCCGGCTAATTGGAGGAGTTCAAGTGAGGTCTCTTTCCTTCGATTAGTCCAAATTTCGTTTCCGTTTCATTAGGCAAAAAGCCTCAAGTTCATTCCGGGCATCGTTGAACCTTTGGCGGGGACGTTTTTTTGACGGCTCCGGAGGACGTGCCGAATCTTTTTTCATCATTGTTTCGGCGGGAATTACGTGGTATTTTGGATATTTTTGGCTTGAAATTCAGAATTTTTCAATTTTTAATGATTTTTGCGACTTGCACTGTGCAAAAAAATAAATTTTTGAGCGGCCCAAAAAAGCCATTTGCACAGTGCAAAAAGCCGAAAATTGCACAGTGCAAAGTAAACTTTTGTTTTCGCATACTTCGTGTCGCAAAAATCACTTCAGCAACTTTGCGAACGGACTTAGGCATGGCTCCGGGCCGGGCTTTGCAAAATTTTCCGGCCCGGCCCGGGCCGACTAATTTCTCGGCCCGCCTCCGGGCTTCAATTTTTAGGCCCGGCCCGGCCCGGGCCGGCCCGGTTTTTTTGAAATCTAACTTTTGCCCGGAAAAAAGGAAAAAATAAGCTTTTTCGACAGAATTTTTCATTTCTTCGGACACACTGCTGATAGCGAACGTAAAGTGACCTTATGTACCTATGTTTTGCTAAATTTTTCTTTACATTTTTCCTTTCATTTCCCGCTTTCTTTCTTTCCAACCTAGTATAAAAATTTTCCGGGCCGAACCGGGCCGGGCTTTCCAAATTTTCCAAGCCCGGGCCCGGGCCGGGCTTGGAGATTTAAGCCCGGGCCTGCGGCCCGGGCCGGGCCGGGCCGGGCTCGCCCGGTTTGCAGCCATGCTTAAACGGACTAGCATCAGTCTGTAGGGAAATTATTGTGGATTCTTCGCGCCTTGGAATCGCCCATCACCGCTTTGCGACCGTTTGCCGCGGCTGAAAATTTGGTGTGCGATTGCGACGGGACGAGATATTTTTCCGCGACAAATCCACATTATTTTCCCGACAAACTGATACAAAGGTCTGTATAATGATTAGCCAGGAATCGAAAAAATTTTGTTGTATATCGAAGGATGTAGTTTTATAAAATTTAATTTTGGCCCTAAATTTTTTGGTCAAAATCAACCTTCTCATAACAAACCCCTTCTATTACAAATAAATTTCTTTTCATAACAGGCATTTTTTCAGATATGGCCTTTCACAACTATCACCACCATCACCATCCAACCCACATCCCCCAGCTGCTGGACGCTCGATGGAGGGCGCGGTAAGGCGATAGAATCTCAAAAATCCATATCGTTGAATATTTCTGCTGCCCTTGGAAAGAGCGAGCTAAAATTTTCAATATCGGTTATGGGGCCTATGCCCGAAATGTGCGCAAAATTTGAAGAAAATCTGAGAGAAGAAAACCACTTGGGGTACTTTCCTTGCAAGAATTGTTGTCGACGCAAATTTATAAAATGTTTTTAATATTCTTAAACCATAAATATTTTTTTCTATATTATATAAGACAAAGCTTATGACGAAGCCTTCATATCCTAAAAACGGATAAGAGGATTGCCATAAAAAACTATTAATAAATTGGCTGAAAAAATTGTTTACTAAAAGTTTAGGGCTTCTCGAAGGATTTTCTCTAATCTTTGGGTGGGCAAAATTTTTCGATTCAAAATCTTTGTGAGAAAGTCGACGTTTTGAGACGAAAATCGTTACTTTAATCAGTGGGAGTTTACGTGTGTGGTCCTAAAAATTTTGGGGTAAATTTGGGCTGAAAAGCTTAATTTGCATGCAAGGAAAGTATTTAAGTTTTGCACATACATGAGCATAGAGCGCACATAAATTCCGGAAATTTTAGCTCGCGCTTTTCAAGGAACCCCGAGATGCTCAACGGTCTTTGCGGCCGAGAAAGTACGCGGAACGCGGAGAATGGGCTGAGAGAAAAATCACTTTTTTGGACGTATCTTTGCCAGTTCGCATGGAAAAAAAATTATTTTTTTTTAGAAACATTACCCTTCATGGCAGAAGCAGGTATCAAACTTTTCATACCAAAATTCGCAAAAAAAGGGTCCTATTTTGCCAACTTTCGACCTAGAAATCTCGGTCGTTTCCGCAAAGAACACGCTGGCGGTCTCGCATAGGTCTAATTGTAAGAAAAAATAAATCAAGGCTTGTGCAAAGTTTCATCAATCTAAACGTTGTACTTAGAGTACTTTCCTTGCCAGCCAATCTGAATGTTTTCCTATCAGTAAACCCGATCACGAGCACACGTGCGGCAAAGTTGTCAATAAGAAAACATCCCAGCTGTCCCAGGAGTAAATTTAAGGCTAAAATAAAGCTTTGTATAGCAAAATCTCTTTATAACGCGCATTTTTTCTGGTTATTTTCATTCGTTGTATAAAGCTGCTGTTTACAATGGGATCTCTTGATAAACAGTTTTTTTTGAAACAAAAGCTGTCTATAACGGACGATTTTCCAAGGTCTATAGTAAGCTAATTTTGGGGCAAAATAGGCTTCCCTACAACAAAATCCTTGTAAATAAAACATAAATTTTTTTGTCTAATTCGTTGTCCAGGGGTTTCCTCTCTGATCTACACTTGCAATATTAGTCTGTCGGCAAAATAATGAGCGCTCTGTCGCATCGGAACTCGCATTACCGCCGGGAAAATGAATTGTGTCGCGGCAAAACCATTTTTTCCACTTCAGCGACGCGATTGGCGCAACGTCAGAGTCCTCATTATTTTCCCGACAGACTGATAATGTTATAAAAAATCATTTTAAAGTTACAGATCCGTCTCTCCGAACCCCACCTACATCCATTCCAATCGCCCATCGGAGACGGCCGACTATTGGACGGGGGTGGCGGCCCAGAAACGAGCAGAATTTGCGGCTGCACGAGATCGACACCTAGCGCAAGAAGCAACGAGGTCCACAAGTTCCACGGTGTCTTCGCGGAAGCCGAGCAGACCATCGCCGGATTCGGAGCTTTTGAGTCCAAATGGAACCAACCATTTGAGAGTCCCGTAAGTCGAACTTTAGGTGGAGGAGTTGGGGCGTTTCCTCGGTAAAATGTGGGCTTGTTACAATGTTGGGGCATCAAATAACAGAGGAATCCCAATCGTTGCTGCGGGGTCTTGATCCAGTGGCAAAAAACGTACCATTTTGCATCCGGGAAGTATCAAAAATGTGGCGAAAATCCCTCTCCAAGTGAAAAAAACTCTGATTTCAAAAGCGCGCCCGCTCTTTTTGTGAGGGAACCCTTCAAAACGAAGTTTTTTTCACTTGGAAAGGGAAACATTTTGCCACATTTTTGATGCTTTCCGGATGCAAAATGGTACGTTTTTTGCCACTCGATCGGGTCCTTCACTGTACACCAAGTGCGACGCTCAGATTTTGCTGAAACTTGGCATAGGCTTATTTTAACTTTTTCTAACACTGTAAGACGATTTTTTCTAAGTGCTTTTCTCTCTGACCGGTAGAGATAAAAGATCCTCTTTGACCGCTCTCCACATTTTTCGTACTCTCTCGACCGCAAAGATGGTAGAATATCTCGGCCGTCCTTGCAGGGCGCGAGCTAGAACTTTCCGGAATTCATAGTTGGCCTGTGCCCGAAGTGTGTGCCAAATTTAAAGAAAATTGAAATTTCAAAACTTCGGCTCCGCTAAAAAATTTGATTTTCCAAAAATAAAAAATAAACTTTTATTGGCCATGAAGCCAAAGGGAAAATGGACATAAAATCCCCAAAAAAAACCTCAGAGTTCTTTGCTCGCAAGAACTCCGGGTAACGAGCGAATGTTCCCGGTCCAATTGGTTTTAGTGGTCAGCACGAAAAGGGACAGGCTTGTTTTTCTCAATTTGAAATTTTATTTCCCTTCCTTGTGGGAGCCCCTAAAGAGCTAAACATTTTGAGACAGCTATTTCGATGGGTCTGTTTTTACCAGGTTTCGAGGATTTGGTCGATATTTTTCAGGTAAAAAGTTTTGAGTTTTTGAAAAATAATTTTTTTAGGAAGCATAGACGGAAAAAATTTTAAAAAATTGATCTTTTTTTTGAGAGACTATGTAAAATGAGGAGAGTCGGACAGACGAAAAATGGTCCTTTAGCTGTAAATTTTTCTATTCTGCAGCAAAAAATCGATTTTTTTGGGAAAAATTTTTTACTTCTTTTGATAAAAGGTCATCGTTTTGAGGACCATAATCGCGAAAAAAATTCTTTTCTTTGTTTATTTTTTTGATTTAAAAATCTTGAATATCTCTGCAAAATACGCGCTGAAAAACTCCAACATATCAGTCTGTCGGGAAAATAATGAGCGCTATGTCGCATCAAAAATGTCATCGCCGCCAGGAAAAACGAGTTGTGTTGCGGAAAAATCCATTGCTTTTCACTTCAGCGACGCGATTGGTGCAGCGACATTGTGCTCATTATTTTCCCGACAGTCAAAAATTTTAGAAAATAGTGTTTAAAAATTTATTTGGGTGAAATTCGGGGGTACCCCAGAAAAAATCGGTTTGAAAAAATGAAAAAAAAATCCAAAAAATGAGAAATAAAAAAACAAAAAAATAAATAAAAACTCCAAAATTTCAAGTCCCCAAAGTCCAATTTTCGAAATCTCGAAGCAAAATCTCGAAAATATGAGCTGAAATTTGGGGTATCCCACAAAAAAAATCGATTTGAAAAAATGAATTAAAATTGAAAGATTCCAAAAAAGGAGAAGTTTAAAAAATTTAAAAATAAAGTAAAAGTTCCTTATTTTGGCCACAACTTATAACTTTGCGGAAACTGGTCGGAATTAGCCCAAATTTAGCGTGCACGCTCAGTTTATCGTTGTCAATGCCCGGACAGTGGATTTAGTTAGTGAGGTACCTTCTTTTTCACGTACCACCTTACCCTTCAAAAACGGCTGCAGCCTGTGATTCTACACTTTATACGATGAAACATGTCCGGAACTAAATTTATTGCCTCCGTATGGAACTAAATGAGTCGTCACAGCCTTCGTAGGTACCCTTAAAACTGTAGAGCTAGTATAGTAATTCAGTGCCAGCTAGGTCGAAGCGTTTTTCCTAGCTTTAGTGCCCAAGCTTGGGCGCAGTTCGCGGAGTACCTTTGTTGTGGCCAAAATAAGGAACTTTTTCCCAAAAAAATCGATTCGAAAAAATGAAGTAAAATTGAAAAATTCCAAAAAAGAAAATTTAAAAAATAAAAAAAAAAAATCAAAAATTTCAAATTCCAAGAGTCCAATTTTCGAAATTTCGAACTTTCGCCGCGGAATCGGCCATTTTCCTACCACACCGCTGTCGGGGATCGGTTGCGGGGAGAGAATGGCGTCCACTGAGAAACCGTCTGCTTCCAGCACGCGCGGCACGCAGACCGCGGACGCCGCCATCGCGGCCGGCGAGCAGAACGTGAATAAACCGTTGGACATTCAGCAGATCAACGGCGCTTACAAGCACGACCCGAGTCAGCGAATCTTCGTCGGCCGCTCGCTGCGACTGGAGAAGATGAAGTTTTTTGGGTTCGACATGGACTATACTTTGGCCAGTAAGTTGGGGGAGGGCTGAAGATTACTGTATGGACCTGAGAGGCTAGAAAAATTGAAAAAGTATTGAAAAACCAGATTTTTTCTCGGAAAACGGGGTTTTTTGGCCAAAAAATTACTTTTATCGTTGAAAATGACATTTGTAACAGCTAGATATAGCACTGACAAGACATTAACTTTGTTTTGAAAGCGATATCTTACCTTTTTACAAGTGTAATTTTGTAAATTTTGAATTTTTTGAACTCATTCGCTTAAAAAGTTTTTTTATGGCTTTTAAGGCTAATTTAGAAGAAGTTACTGACTTGTAATGCAATTATTAAAAAGCAAAGTTTCTTTTGAATGGCAGATTTAAACTTTTTGCACATCAAAATGAAGTGTAACATCCAAAAACATAGACTTTTCCTGATTTTTTGATGATTTTTGATGATAAACCTGTTTTAACGACTGAAAATACCTTCACAGAATATTATTTTCATTTCTTTATATTTATTATCTATCTGTTGCTTCTTGCAGTTTCATTTCCAACAAAATTTTTCTCTTTTTGATCTCTAAATCAAGTGCTATATCAAAAAAAACTCGATTTCCTCCATAATTCCCCGCTTTTTCAGACTACAAATCGCCGCAATACGAGGCCATGTTATTTTCGCGAACCATCAGCCGCCTCATCGAGATCGGGTACCCGGAACAGTTGCGCAATCTCAATTACAACTCCAATTTCCCGGTGCGCGGTCTTTGGTTCGACATGGTGCATGGGAACTTGTTGAAGGTGGACGGGTTCGGGAACATCCTCGTCGGAGTTCACGGCTTCCACTTTATGAAGCCCAATGAGATCGAGGAGCAGTATCCGAACAAGTTTTTGCATCTGACTGATAGTAGAGTGATCGTGTTGAATACGTTGTTCAATATGCCGGACACGTACTTGTTGGCCTCGTTGGTGGACTACTTTGACAATGATCCGGAGTACAAAGTGTAAGTTTATTGTAGGTTTGAGTGGTAAGATTGTTTTTTTGCAATGTTTTTCGCTTTTCGGTATGAGGGAAAGACTTGACCCAGGGTTTGCATGTGAGGGAAAGACTTGACCCAGAGTTGTATATGAGGGAAAGACGTGACCCAGGGTGTGGGTGTAAGGGAAAGACTTGACCCAAGGTGGGCAAAGACTTGACCCATATGGAGAAAAGTGGGTCAAGTCTTTACATTGACGAAGAAAATAAAAATTTCAATTTTCAACTTGATTTATGGTGGTTGTAGGTTTTTTTAAGTTAAGGAAAGTCTTGACACATTTTTAAATTTTGGCTTTTATGTTTCCCTCGGCCGGAAACTTCCAGTTTTTCGCGGTTTTTATGATTTTTTTGGTATTTTTCAGAATTTTCCTATGAGGGAAACACTTGACCCATTTTGAGATATTTTGAGTCAAGTCTTTCTCTTGATGAAAAATAGTGGAAATTTTTAAAAAAATTATTGTCCATCAAATTTTATCTCCCTTTTTCAGCCTTCCCGACCGCACAGGAGTCCGCCGAAATGACGTCATCATGTCCTACAAGTCGTTTGCCAAAGACGTAACCAACGCCGTGAACTGGGTTCACACCGAGGGCTCCATGAAACAGTTCGTTTTGAACAACATTGAGCAGTTTGTGGTGAAAGATGAGAGAATCAAACAGCTGCTGCCTCAGTTGCGACGACATGGGCAGACTTTTTTGTTGACCAACAGCGAGTACAGCTATACGAATGTAAGTGAAACAATAGATATTTTTTCAGGGTTGTAGGGAATATGGTAGATGCAAAAAGGTATTTGAAGTCTTGTAGATGAGGTGTATGGAAGATACAAGGCATCTGCAGTCTGCAATTGGCAGTTTTCATCTAATTTGGCCTGGCTTCTGGGGATATTTCTAGTTTTTTTGAATCGTTTTTGGCCAAAATTTTTATCTTTTCCAATTTTGTCTCGGTCGTGCTATGCACAAAAAATGTAACAAAATAAAAAATCCATCTTGATTTGTGAGTAAAAAATAGGTATTTTTTGAGGGTTGTAGGGAATATGGTAGATGCAAAATGGCATTTGAAGTCTTGCGGATGAGGTTTATAGAAAATACAAGGCATCTGCAGTCTGCAATTTGCAGTTTTTATCTAATTTTACCTTGTTTTTGACAATATTTCTAGTTTTAATCGTTTTTGGCCAAAATTTTTATCTTTTCTAATCAATTTTGATATGTAAACTCATCATAACCTATTCCTATAACAAAATTATTCAACTCCAGGGTGTGATGACCTATCTTCTCGGCCCTCAATGGGCGGAATACTTTGATATTGCCGTGGTGGACGCGAAGAAGCCGAATTGGTTCGCGGAGGGCACTGTTTTCCGCCAAGTCGACACTTCCACCGGCGTATTGAAGCTGGGAATGCACACGGGCCCGTTGAAGAAGGGTCAAGTCTATTCGGGCGGGTCTTGTGACGCGTTTCGGCGAATGATGAAGGCCCGAGGAAAGGATATATTGTACATTGGAGATCATATTTTTGGAGATGTTTTGAGATCCAAAAAGAATAGAGGTAAGGGTTTTTTTTGTTTTTTGATATTTTTGTAAAATACGGGAAAGGGAGACTTGACCCAAATTTTGTTTTTTTGGCAAGACATTATAGGTTTTTTTTACATTTTGTTTGTTGAAAAATATACAAAAAAATTTTAATAACCTTTTAGGCCCAAACTTGGCCCAAAATTCAAATTTGAGTCAAGTCTTCCGCTCGCTGCAAAAACTCAATTTTTTTCAAATTTTTCCCAATTTCAGGTTGGAGAACATTCCTGGTGGTCCCGGAAATCGAGCATGAGTTGACGATCTGGACGGAACGTCACAGTCTATTCGAACGGCTCGCTCAACTTGACGTCCAACTGGCCAAATTGTACAAGAATATGGATGCCACTTCGTCCAATTCGGCTCATGTGGAAATTGCAGAAGCTGTGAAAGCTATTCGAGTGAGCGTTTTGTGAAAAAATGTCATTTTTTGTAAAAAAAAATCAGATCCGTCAAATTTTTGAGTCCCACCATGAAAACCTGACTGCTCAAAATTTTGTTTTTTTCCTTAATTGTAAAACATCTCGATTTACAATTTTCCAGGCTAAACAATACCTATTTCTTTCAAAACAGTAATTTTTGGCTAAATTCACAATTTTGGGTCCTGGCACGAAAATTTGATTTTTCGCAAAACCTCCAAATTTCAATTCTAACCTCTTTGCTACCCTCCACAAAGCAACCTACTAAACATATTTCCTTTCAAAAGCGTAATTTTTGGCTAAATTCACAAATTTTGGGTCCTGGCACGAAAATTTGATTTTTCGCAAAACCTCCAAATTTCAATTCTAACGTCTTTACTACCCTCCAAAAAGTAATAACTACCAAAAAAAGGCAATTAACATCCATCTCCCTCTACATTTACGGGTCTTTTCACCTTATCCATCGCAAACTGACCAGTGGCTCTTCCAGCTCATAATTTGGGCCAACTTCTGAAAATTTTATTTCGAATTTCAGAACCTAACCCACGAAATGGACCAGGCGTACGGCGTGCTGGGCCCACTGTTCCGGTCGGGCTCCAGAACCACATTTTTTGCGACCCAAGTGGAGCGCTATGCGGACCTGTACGCCGCCTCGCCGTACAACCTCATCTACTACCCGACGTTCTACTTTTTCCGCGCCCCCATGATGCTCATGCCGCATGAGAGTACGGTGGATCATTTGGCCAAGATGTCGAAGCCGACCAACGACAAGCTGGGCCGCCAGCCCTCCAAGTCGATGGCCAGCTTCTGTCACGAGGACATTGACGACGAACCCCTCTCCGAGGAGGAGGGATATCAGGATCTGGCGTCGGTGTCGTCCACTGAAGACAACTTCTCGCTGGCGTCGTATGCGAAGAAGTCGATGAATTGAAGGAGAGTTTGTGATTCCAATATTGAGTTTTTGTCCAATAAAGAATTTCAACCAAATATTTCAAGGATTTTTTCGATTTTTTTCGTTTTTCTTGGTCTTTTGGGGATCTGTTCGGAGGGAAACTTATCAACTTGGCTTCCTTGAATTCAGAGGTAGCTTACGCTTGTCTAATTGTGTCAACGTGCAAATTCTTTTGTTTTCTACGCGCGAGTGTTCAACAACAAAAAAGATTATCTTCATGATGGATAAACGCGTCACAAGACCCGCCCGAATAGACTTGACCCTTCTTCAACGGCCAGTGTGCATTCCCAGCTTCAATACGCCGGTGGAAGTGTCGACTTGGCGGAAAAACGGTGCCCTCCGCGAACCAATTCGGCTTCTTCGCGTCCACCACGGCAATATCAAAGTATTCCGCCCATTGAGGGCCGAGAAGATAGGTCATCACCAGAGATTGCCACGGCTCCGGAGCCGGCTCTTGGCTCCGGCTCTGAGCGGCTCCGGCTCCGAGCCGGGAGCCAGAGCCGGAGCCGGAAATTTTGGGGTCGGCTCCGGCTCCCGAGCTCAAAGTCGGAGCCAGGCTTCCCAACGGTCAGAAAAGTAAAAATTTCGTGATCTTTTTAAACCAAATTACTTGAAAAAAACACTGCGGAGGATGTGACTTGACTCAAAAACGTTGGCTGTATGATCTCTGGCACTAAGAACTTTTATTTTTGAAAAAATATTTTTAAAAAAACATTTTGCATAGGAGCCGGGATTCGGAGCCGGAGGCCTTTTTAAATTTTGCACGGAGCCAAGAGCCGGAGCTGCAAATTTGGCCTCGGCGCCGGCTCTGGGAGCTAAGAGCCGGAGCCGGAGCCGAAATTTTGACCGTGGCAATCTCTGATTACAATTACAGCTCCCTTTACCCTTTGACTTTCAATTCTTGCCACCTCTGCTTACGCCACCCATTGGATTATGCGTTTTACGACGCGTCGCTCGCGCGATTAAGAGAGCAGATGGCTCTTGTCTCGCGTCCCAATACCAACTCATGCTGATTCCTTCCGCTTTCTTCTCGTGGTTGTTGGTTCTGTTCTGGTCGTTATGGAAGAGAGCCGTTCGGAATCGCCCTTCGAACTGGTCGAAGTGAAGAACTGTGTGGATGTGGATGGTAAGAATAATATAGCAAAAAAGTTTTGTAATGCTGCCCGAGGCAAAAGGTCGTGATGATTTATCGGGGGTATGGGTTCTGTCGTACTCTGAGACCTGGTTAGGTACCCTAATCGTACTGTCAAACCTTTTTAATTCAACAAATCGCAATGAGGCAAAAACAAACATTTTTTTAAATCAAATGAGTAGGTTCATTTTGCTCTAAAATTAATTTTTGGAACTGCAGAAATTGATTGTTATAGACAGGTTTTGGTGTACAGATGTTTGACTGTAAATTTTTATGTACATAGAAAATTGCGAGATTAGTAAAGATATCGCCAAAAAGTGCATTTCCATCTGACCGCTCTCCGGATTACGCGCACTATCTCGTCGAAGAAGATAGCTGAATATCTCGGATTGCCTGGAAAATCGCTTACAGAAATTTTAGTCAAAAAAATTGCTTATCTAGAATCATTTTTTTGAATAGGACAAAAAATGTGGATAATAAACTTCCCAGTAAAAAACCTGTCGATAACAGTCAATCTAGGAATTGCCCAAAAATCAATTTGAAGCCAAAAGAACCTCTATACAACAAACTTCGTATTTAATGAAAAAATTTTTTTGTTCCCTTGCGATTTGTTGTACAGAGGTTTGGCGACATTTCGAAGACCCTTTTTGGTCTCACCACGAAAATCTGAGGTCTCGGAATCTGGAATGGAAATGAGTTCGCCAATAAAAATAGGCCTTTCAAGATAGTTCACAAGGGTTTTTACAAGTGCATCTGCAAAAATGAGAAGAGATTTGAGCGACGCACTTTCGTTATGTCATCATTTTTACCGTATTTTACAGTATCCCAAAGCGACTCTTCCACCCCCTCGTCCTTCGAAATTTGCTCTCCGAAATCCCAACAGACCCTCACTAGCACTTCGCCAATTCCGTTTGACTCCGACAACGACGCCTTCAGCGATGGGTTGGACGATTTTCACGATCAAATCGCTGAAACTCGCGAGAAATTTCAAAATTTGAAAGAATCGGCGTTTGACATCAGCAAAAAAAGTAAAGGATTAATTGAAGTGTTTGTTAAGCTGCAACAAGTCAATGGAACCATCGCTCAAAGTCGTGGGGACGTCGATCAAGATTCGAGAACTATTCGGGTAGGTGTCTAAACCAATATTGTTGATGAAAAACAGTGTTCATCTTGTTTTTCAATCAAAACTATTATATTTTTTAATCATTAGGAGCTGCTGGCTGCCTCTCGGAACAAATTGGCGACCATTATGGAGGGCTTGCGCGACAGAAGAGCTCAAATTATCGCCGCTGAGGCATGAATAGTATGATTTGTTGTCAGAAACTTGTATCGTTGGATTTTTTTGATTTCATAAATCTTTGTCCACCCCAATAACCATGAAAATTCAAGGTCATTCGTATTCTCTCCCAAATTGCTCATCAAAAACAGGTTTGACTGTATAAAATCTCCCGCAGCCTGCACGCGAGCTGCGCCCTAACTTTCTTTCTCAACTTCGGGCGCAAGCCGAAAAAATGGATGATCATAAAGCAAAATCTCGGTGAAAGGGTATTGTTACTCCTTTACAGCAGCAATGACCGAACCAGCAATTCAGTTCCATCTTTGGCAAACCTTTGCCGCTCATGGTTCAGATGTGAAAGCAGTTGAGCCAACTTCGCAAGGCCATCTGGCTACTGTGAGTCGAGACGAGACTGCAAAATTATGGGTGGAGAAGTGAGTTTTTGTTTTTATTAGTTTTGTTGACCTTTAGAGGAAATAACTTTGAAGAATCAACTTTTTTATTCTGCATCTTGATGGTCATGGATAAGATAGGACGAAAATACGTATTTTTCAAGCTCTTAATACCTCTTTAGACTGGGAATTTAACGTAGAATATTGTGGAATGAAATGAAGGGACATGCTTTACTTCTAGAAATTGTTTGCTTTGTTTTGAGTGAAAGGTTTGGTACCATGGATAATATCGCCTGAAAATTATGTTTATAATTGCTGAAACTAGTCAAATATGGTATCATTTTGAAGATGTTCTCATGCTGAAACTATTAGTAGATATTAATTATAGTTTTGGATTGGGGTTTGCCTGTTTTAGACTAATTTTTGGCACCTAAATTTATATTATCCTTCCTAAAGTTTTTCCGCTTGTTTCCGCATTTTTTTGAGAGATGGGTAGGCTTAGTTTTATAAACAGTTTGGAGAGGTGTCAGCCAATCTTTTTACCGACGTTTCTGTCAGTAATTCCCTTAATTTTCCAGAGAAAACGGGTATGTCCAAGAAGCCGAGTTCAAGAACGGTCAACATGTAAATTCGTTGGGTTTTTACGAATGTCCAGATGGAAGCAGCGAGTTTATTGTTTGTGGACGAAAGGATGGTACTGTCGCTTTGTTTGCGCCGACCAGTGAAGATCCCACAGTTGTTATTCGCGTTCATCAGATGAATGGTAAGTTGTTTTGGCGTTTTCGCTTTGAATTTGTTCGATGTTTAGGTTGAATTGAATATCAAAAGATTTAATGTAAGCTGAGGAAGCTTACAAGTTTTGGGTCGAACATATTTAGGGCTGTTTGAATATTCTTTTGGCCGATTTCCATAGTTTTTGACCTTATTTTTGAAGTTCCACTAATTTATTGACAGTTTTATTGCCTAAATTTTCAGTTTGTACCCTACGAGTAGACAGTGCGACCGGTAGATGTATCAGCGGTGGTTGGGATTCAAAGGCAGTGGTTACCGATCTCAATAAAGCTCTTCAAAATCAACCATCCGAGGCAAGTACAATATTATTTTTTCTTTTGATTTTTAGGCGATAACAAGAGCTGCAAATATGGTAATAAAATTCCAAAATGCTATAAAATGTTTTACCATCACTCTTTTCCAGATTTACGGCTTGAACGGGCACAAAAATTCGGTTTGGGCAGTGGAATTTGTGCAAAATCAACCAAACAATTTCGTCACCGGTTCCGCCGATCGGACGATCAAGTTGTGGTGCGGGAATGAATGCATCATGACGCTGGAAGGTCATCAGGATGTTGTGAGGTCAATTATCATGCTACCGAATGGGAATTTGATCTCCTCCGCCAACGATAGCACCCTGCGAGTGTGGTCGACGGAGAGCGGGAAATGCCTTGAAGCCTACGACTCCTATCATGGAGAGTTCATTTATGCGTAAGTGAATACATTCGCAAGAATTTTAAAGCTTCTCCATCGAATATTTATATTACTTTAGGCAAAATTTTGGATTTTGATATAAAAAAATAATATTTTCTCAATTTTATCGGCTCTTTTTTTCAGCACAGCGCTGTTGACTCATCCCAGTGGAAAGAAGTTTGTGATCTCATGCAGCGAACGTGGTTACGTCGAGATATACGCCTTGGTTGCTGATGATACCGCATTGTCTTTTCTGCAGCCAGTCAGAGCTCCGGTGGTCTCGTTGTGGGCTGTTCGGAGTACGAAAGACGGAGACTTTGCCTTGGCAGCCAGGTAAGTGGATTTGGAGATTTTTAGATTCGAATTTGTGAAGTTTTGCAATGGCAGGCTGCGCCCTAACGTACTTTCTGAATTTTGTTGCTTTTAGCCGTAAATAATGAAGCTGAAGGGCGTTTAGGTGGATAAAGGTTTATTGGTCAATTTTTCGTATTTTTAGATTTTTTTAGGCCTCTCGCAAGCTGCGCCCGATATTTTAAAAATTTCTCGCAGCCTGCACCAAAATTTATTTGTTTTATTTTATTATCTCTAATTTTGTCCGTTTTCAGCAATGGATTTGTCTACATTTTCTCGGCCAACCCCGACAAAAAAGCTCCGGAGCCAGTTGAAGCCGCGTTCGAAGCCGAATTGGCCAGCTTCATTGCCACAGAAGCGGCCGCAAAGGCTGCCGAACAGAACGATAAGGTTGTGATCAAGGTATCATTGGACGACTCTGGCCGTCAGTTGGACCTGGTCTATGTGAAAGGTCAAAATCCCATCGATTCGGCGAAGAATTTCCTGGCGGTATGTGCGTCGTTTAACCGGAGTTGGACCATTGGGAAAAAGGACGATTGGGGAAACCGGAAAATATTATTTTTCTTCGATGCAAGTGTCGAATTAGGATAATCGAGGGCGCTGATTTCGAAAATGACATTCATTTTTTTGATAGTTACTTTTTTCCTGAAGTAGTATTGTGAAGTAGTAATTTTTTGAATTTTTTTCGTAAATACTCGATTTAGGGGTTTTCGAGGGTGCTGATTTCGAAAATCTTATTCATTTTTGCTGATTTGAAAGCCGCACCATCGAAAACCCCCAAATCGAGTATTCATGAAAAAAAATCGAAAGGTTATTACTTTACAATACTACTTAAGGAAAAAAGTAACTATCGAAAAAAACGAATGTCATTTTCGAAATCACCACCCTCGATTATCCTAATTTCACACTTGCATCGAAGAAAAATAATACTTTTTGGTTTCCCCAATCGTCCCAGTTCCCATAGATACACACGCCTTTTCACACGTTTTTCAACACTCAAAGCTCAAAGTCATTTTTTTTTGAAAAAAATCAGAAATTTTTTTCTGAATTTCCCAAGTTTCCATCAAAAAATGAAAAAATTTTCTCTTCAAATCCGTATTTTTTAAAATTTTTATTTTTTTACGATTTGATAATCGATTCCGTTTTAGCAAAACCATCTGCCAATATCGTATCTAAACGAAATTGTGGATTATATCAAGTCCAATGTCCCAGAAGCCAGGAATTTCGAACAGTTCAAGGGAACGAAGCCAGCACCGATTCAGAAACCGGGTGTAAGTTGGAATTGAGGCTTTTTTTTGAGTGTGGAAAGGGATTGAGATGGGTTTTGATGAAGTTTGGGGGTGAATTTTGAGATTTTTATATTACTTTAGGTGATATTTCGACAATTTTTTAAAAAATTTTTTCTGGTGAGAAATGAAAATTTGGGGAGTAGACAGTGAAGTGGGAGAAATTTGAATAATATTTTATTTTTTTCAGCCAGTTTTTTATATTGTTTTAGGCGATTTAATGGCAAATTTTTCAATTTTTCCATTTTTTATTTGTTTTAATTAAATTTTAGCCCGTAATTTTGATGTATCCGCAATTTTCAGAAAGCCGACTACGAATTCGAGATCACCGCACCGCCAGACAAGACCTTTTTCCTTGCCTATAACGTCGGCGAAGACCCAAATATGGCGGCGCAACGGTGCTGCGAACAAAACAATCTCCCCATCGCCTTCCTCCCCCAATTGGTCAACCATCTGCAACAGAATGTCCCCGAAATCAAGGGACTTCAAGGCAAAGCATATGCCGATCCATTCACCGGAAGTGGGCGATATGTCCCAGGCCAGAGCTCAGCTGGCTCAGGAGACTTTGGAGACCCATTCACATCCTCGGGAAGGTATATCCCGGGACAAGCAAGCGCTCAAACTGGTCAAGGTGAGATTTAAAATAGATTTTGGGGGTTTTGAGCGATTTTTTTGGGAGTTTTTTGAAAAATTTTTGAGGAAAGTACTTCTATGTGGTGTGGAGTTAAGTAAAAGACCTCAAAACAATCAAAAATCCAAATACAATCTAAAATCAATCTAAAAAATATAAAAATCTCAAAAAAATTTCACAAGGAAACTACTTCTATTGGGTATGGAGTTAAGTAAAAGACCTCAAAACAATCAAAAATCCAAAAACAATCTAAAATCAATCTAAAAAAATATAAAAATCTCAAAAAAATTTCACAAGGAAACTACTTCTATTGGGTATGGAGTTAAGTAAAAGACCTCAAAACAATCAAAAATACAAAAACAATCTAAAATCAATCTAAAAAAATATAAAAATCTCAAAAAAATTTCGCAAGGAAACTACTTCCATGGGGCATGGAGTTACAGGTCGAGACATACGTCAAAAAAATCCCAAAATTTTTCTGATTCAGAATATGTAAAAGTTAGCTGCCTAATTTTGGTCTGTAAGGGTGAAAAAATCCAACTTTTCTCACAACACCACGCAAACGCTTTTTTGACCAAGTTTTTACCAATTCAAAAGGTTTGTTTTGAGCTAAAGCACACCCTGGCATTTACTTTTGACATGCCTTAAAATATCAAATTTGATTAATACTACACTTTAATAGTCGTTCCAATGTAAAAAAGAGACATTGTAGTATTAATCAAATTTGATATTTTAAGGCTTGTCAAGATGCCAGGGTTTACTTTAGCTCAAAACAAAGCTTTTGAATTGGTAAAAACCGGGTTAAAAAGGCATTTGCGTAGTGTTGCGAGAAAAGTTCTGAGGGTTTTTTCACCCTTACAGACCAAAATTAGGCAGCTAACTTTTACATATTCTGAATCAGAAAAATTTTACGATTTTTTTTGATGTATGTCTCGACCTGTAACTCCATGCCCCATAGAAGTACTTTCCTTGTGAAAATTTTCTGAGATTTTTAGGTTTTTTAAGGTTTATTTTAGATTGTTTTTGGATTTTTGATTGTTTTGAGGTCTTTTACTTTATGTATTTGCGATTTTCAGGCGGCGGAGATCCATTCACCTCCGGAGGAAGGTATATTCCAAGTCAGGAAACCAACCCTCTATTGCCCAACTCCTGCCTAAAGGCCGACAAAAAACGCCCGTTTTCGGAGTATGTCCCCATCAAGGACCTGTATTTGTTCCCAGAAAGGGCTGACCAAAAAGCTATCGATGCGCTGAAGAAGGCCAATTCGGAAGTTGGCCCGAATTATGAGCTGGAAGAGCCATTGGTGAGTTTGTGATGGATAAGGTGAAAAAATCTATAAAAGTAGAGGTAGATGGAAGTTTATTGACTTGTTTTTTTAGCAGTTATTACTTTTAGGAGGGTAGCGAAGAGGTTAGAATCGAAATTTGGGGGTTTTGCGAAAAATCATGTTTTCGTGGCAGGACCCAAAATTTGTAAATTTAGAGAAAAATGACTGTTTTGAAAGGAAATAAGTATTGTTTTGCCTGGAAAATTGTAAATCGAGATGTTTTAGGTTAAAAAAAGCAAAATTTTGAACAGTCAGGTTTTCGTGGTGGGACTCAAAAATTTGGCAAATCAATGAATTTTTTTAAAAATCCGTAAATTGCGGTTTGATAGCCTAGAAATGACTAGTAAAAATTTCAGTTTGATGCCCTCGTCCAAATGCTGGAGCCCGGCTTCGAACACAATGAAATCCAAACGCTGGCCCTCGAAAAAGCCCTCCAATGGCCGATGGAGCACATCATGGGAGTGATCGACGTCCTCCGCCACGCCTTGCTCAACGAATTCCACAGCCTGACCTTCTGTTCGCCGCCGAATGGAGACCTGACTGTGGAGAGATTGCTCACTTTACTCATTTCGGACTCTACCTTCAAAATCCGGACCATGGTTTGCCGAGCCTTAGCCAACGCCTGCAAACATGAACCTGGGAGAAGAATGCTGATGAGCCGATTGAGTGAAGTGGTGGAAGTGGTCGCACCGTGTGTGCTGTGGGAGAAACCAATTCTTCAGGTGGGAAATTGGGGGTTTTGGGAGATTTTTGGTTTTTTCGAGGAATAGAAAGGGTTGTAGAAAGTGTTAAATGGTGGTAAAAGTGTGATAGGAAATCGTGTTTAGTTTGGAGATGTTTTGTTGGGGGTTGAGGGCGTTTTGAAGGCATTTGGACCTTGTTTTAGGTGGACTAGACCTGTTCTTGGAAAATTTGGAAATTTTGATGTTTTTAGAGGGAAATAAAGAGCGTGATAGGTGACATCTGGGCCTACAGAGTATGAGGGCGATTAGATGTTATTTTTGGGAGAGTTGAACCGGATTAAGGGGAAAATTTTGGCATATTTACCTTATTTTAGACGACTTTTGGTGATTTTTCCCGTTTATGCTGTTTATTTTGATTTTTATGAATCATTTTCAGGTAGCCGCAACCTCCTGCCTTGCCAACCTCGCCTTTTGCCTCTTGAAGCAGACCGAAGCCGGCGTCGCGGAGCTCGGACCAAGAGAAGATCTCCTCCGAGCGATCATCAAAACCACAGAAAAAACCCCGGCATTCTCTCATCTGTCCCCGGTAGCCATTCTACGTCTCCTCCAGACCATTGTCACCCTGATGTGGGGCGATTTGACCGTCATCAAGATGGGCAAACAGCGAGGAGTTGCGGAAATTGTCCAGAAAATCAAAGACGCCGCCAGCGACGAAGCCAGCAAAAATATCGCACGTGATATATACGTCATGACATTTGAGGTCTAAGGAAAATTTTGGGGAAATTTTGAATTTTTTGGGCTAATTTTGGATGATTTAGAGCAAGTGGAACGTAGGCTTTGAATTTCCGCTGAATTGTTCCCAAAGTCCAAAGAAATGAAGAGCGTGTCAGAATGGTCGAGTCGGTTGAGCTTTGGACTGGAAATCCAAAGGTCGCTGGTTCGGTTCCTGGTGGAGTGGAAATGCTTTTTTCGATTATTTTTTGAGGAAATTGCATATTACTATCGCTGAAATGATATTAAAAAGTTTACCATGAGTTGTCGAAACTATATAGTTACGAATTTTTCCAGTTATTTGCCTGAAAATCAAAAAATTTCCCAATTTTTTTCGAATTTCCCCTGATTTTCCTTGTTTATAAGGTGAAATTATTGAGCGATATTGTGTCTACAAACAAATTCACATTGAATCAGATGTGGATTCTCATTTTATTTTGCGTGTAAAGTAGATTACCGATGAAAATTTGTGCCTTTTTTGTCGGTTCTTTTTTCGAAACGGTTCAATTCTAAATAAATAATTTATTTGTGTGAATTGATTGAGAATTTTGTCAGAGTTGAGGTTTTTATCAAGTGGAATATCTTTGAGATTTTTTAAACGAATTTTTGGATACTTTTTGAGGTTTTTTGGATACTTTTTGAGGTTTTTTGGATAATTTTTGAGGTTTTTGGATACTTTTTGAGGGTTTTGGTTACTTTTTGAGATTTTTTAAACGAATTTTTGGATACTTTTTGAGGTTTTTTGGATACTTTTTGAGGTTTTTGGATACTTTTTGAGGTTTTTGGATAATTTTTGAGGTTTTTGGATACTTTTTGAGGGTTTTGGATATTTTTTGAAGGTTTTGGATACTTTTTGAGGTTTTTGGATAATTTTTGAGGGTTTTGGAAACTTTTTGAGGTTTTTTGGATCCTTTTTGAGGTTTTTTGGATAACTTTTGAGGGTTTTGGATACTTTTTCAGGTTTTTTAAGATTTTTGAAAATTATGGGTGTATTTTCCGGCACATTCCAGCAATATTTTATGCTAATTATTATGTTTATACAGTTTTTTTTATTTTGAAAAAAAAAATTTTTTTTGCAAAATTCACATGACTCCGACAAAACAGCTCCCCGAAAATTGGCCCTAATCGCAGATGGTTTTTTTCAGGCCGTGCATGCGCTTTCCTCTTGTTTTGTCGCCGCGACGCACCCAATTTGTCTTTCGCACAGTGCATTCCAATTTTTCGAAACTCTTGTCACAAGATTCAGGTCGGTTCTGTCCAACGAAAATGGTACGTGAAAGTGTGAGTAAAACACTGGGTAATTTTTTTGGTATCAATTTTTTTATTTTTATTGAAATTTTTTTTTTGATTTTTTTCAGATTTTTCAAAATTTTTTAGATTTTTTCGAATTTTAGAAACTTTAAAATTATCTGAAATTAACTGCAATTTGTTCTAGAGGGCATATTCTTAAAATCAGAGCTGAAATTTCTACCAAAACCATCTCTTTTCCTCTTGTTTTGACCTTATTTTAGCCAAAAACACGATAAATTTTGATAAAAATTTGATTTTTCTTATTTTTCGGCTCTAAATTTGCAAGATCTTGCTGTTAATATTTTTAAAATACGAGAACATTTTTTCGGTTTCAGTTCTGGCAGACCAGCTCCAGTCCGGACGGTCGAAACACCTGGACAAGGCGCCCGACTTGCGGAATCCTCGTTATTGGCGACGAAATCCTGAACGGGTCCACAATCGACACAAATTCCCACTATTTGTGCGCCAAATTGCACAAACGAGGAGTTGGGGTGAAAAAGGTACACAATTTTGGGGGGTTTTTGAGATTCGAAGTTTTCGTGGTGGGACCCAGTTTTTTGATTAATTTGAGATTCAAAAAGGTTATTTCGGTGGCAAACTAGTTTTGAATTGTAATTTCAAGCCATTTTTGGCATTTGCAGCTCATTTCTAGTAGCTTTTTTTGTCTTTGAAGGTTTTCGTGGTGGGACCCAAATTTTTAAAAGGCGAGTGTAAAAGTGGAAATTTGGTGTTAGAGTTGTGTTAAAATGTTATTTGGGGTGCTCACAAAAATCTTTGACTTATTTTTTGGTTGATTTTGCGATTTTGAAAACTTTCGTGGCGGGATACAGATTTTCAAAAGGCGGTGTATAATATGTGAAATTTGGTAATAGAGCATTATTAAAATGTCATTTTGGGCTGCTCGCAAGAATTTTTGACTTATTTTTGGTTGATTTAGCGGTTTTGGAAACTTTCGTGGTGGGACCCAAATTTTTCAAAATCCAGCAGCAAACTATAAAAATTGGAAACAAGATGCTTTTTAGATGTCATTTTAGGTGTTCACAGAAACCTTTGACTTATTTTTGGTCAATTTCACGGTTTAGAAAACTTTCGTGGTGGGACCCAAAATTTCACAAGTCAGCTTTAGAAGAAAAAATTTGGCTGCAGAATGCGGTTAAAATGTCATTTTCGACTACTCACGGAAATCTTTGTTCTTATTTTTGGTCAATTTTGCTATTTTGGAAACTTTCGTGGTGGGACCCAAAATTTCACATTTTTCCAAAAAAATGTTTTGTGATTCCAAAAATCGACTGTGTGGTTTTTAGATCGCAGTGATTGGTGACAACGTAAACGAAATTGCCTCGGAAATTCGACTCTTTAGCGGCCTGTACGATGTTGTTTTGACCACCGGTGGAATTGGCCCCACTCATGATGACCGAACTTTTGAAGGTAAATTTCACCTCTATGCTGTGTCTATGCCGCATTTTGCAGGCCTAGGAATGGCTTTCGACGAGGAGCTGGAAATAAACAAAGAGTTGTTTCAAGTGGTCGAAGTCTTCCTCAAAAAGACCAAGTTGGCGGATGTGGACTCGGCCGTGGAGAAGTTTTGCAAGGTAAAGTGGTTATAAGATTTTTATTTTTGATCCACGTTGGACACGAAACTGCTGTACCAAGCGTCTTTTACCAATTTTGTCGATTTTTGGAGAGTTCCCTCGATTTTCAGGTTTTCGTGGTGGGACCCAAAAATTTTTTTTTTGTTGAAAAGAGGAGAAAGTATGGAAAGGATTCTTCATTTTTATACGTATTATACCATTTCGTGACCGATTTGAACCTGTTATTTTGGGCTTTGGAGGTCTTCCCCGATTTTTAGGGTTTTCGTGGTGAGACCTAAAAACATTTTGATTTTATCGAAAAGATGAGAAAAATGGGAAAAGAAGTCTTCAATATTGACGTCTTATACTATTTCAAGCCCCTTGAACCTGTGTTTTTGGGTTTTTGAAAGCATACCCTGATTTTCAGGTTTTCGTGGTGGGACCAAATTTTTTTTTGATTTTATTGAAAAGATGAGAAAAATAAGGAAGGCTGTGTTTTATATTGACGCTTTTCACCATTTCAAGCCCTTTGAACCTGTGTTTTCGGGATTTGGAAGACTTCCCAGATTTTCAGGGTTTTCGTGGCGGGACCGGATGAAGTCTTCAAAATCAGCCTTTTTTGTTCATAAAGCTGAATAAAATAATGCTGACATGTATTTTACTCCGATTTTTTCATTTCTCTCCGTTTCAAAGGTGTTTTCAAGTTTTCGCGCCGGGACCAAAATGGTCCCACCACGAAAACCTGAAATCATCAAAAACTTGATGAAAATGGGAAAATAAGGTTGTAAATTGACTGTTTAATGTTTTTACGGTGTTTCAAAAAAAAATTTTTTTTTGCAATGGATTACTGTATTTTCCAGATTCCCAAAGCCGCTCAGCTTTTGTGGGGCGAAGAAGCGGCCCCACAAACCCCCGAACAAATGACCATATTCCCGTCCGTGCAACTGAAAAACGTCATCTGCTTCCCTGGAGTCCCGAAATTCTGTCGACTCGCCTATGATCAACTTGAAGTAGGTTTTGCAAAAAATATTTGATTTTCGATGTTTTTTTGTATTTTTTTAAACTTCTTTTTGATTTTGACTCGGAAAATTTATGTTGAAACGCTCGATGGGCAATTTTCGGTCTGTTTTTGTAAGATTTTATCTATTTTTGCGATCTTTTTGCGATTTTTTTTACTTTTTTCAGTCATAGAGTGGTCTCAAAGTCTAAAAAATCAAGTCCTTTCTACTGATAAGACTACAGCTGATAGTATGGAGCGATCTTTGTTCGGAACCTCGATATTACCTTTTATTTTTATGTTTTAGGCCTCGAAATGCTTTTTCTTTTGATTTTTAAGGGTGTGTTCTATCATTCATGTTAAAATTTTGTTAACAAATTAATTATATGGCTTGTTTGTTGACAAAAGCTGATTTTTTGCCATTTTATAGCGTAAATAATGATTTTTTGATGTGGCAGACTGCGCCCTAGGCTTTTCAAAATTTTTCGTTATGGAGTTGCAAAAGGTTATTAGACATCATTGTGAGTGTCACTTGATAATGTCGGCATGTTTTTTATCACTTTGAAACCTCCTATTATCATTTTTGCTAGTGGCAGCCTGCGCCCTGGGCTTTTAAAATTTTGTCGATATCGGCGGAAAAGGTTATTCGACGTCATTTTTGGTGTCACTTGACAGCATTGGCTGGGTTTTTATCACTTTTAAACTTCCTATTATCGTTTTTATTAGCGGCAGACTGCGCCCTAGACTTTTGAAATTTTGTCGGTATCGAGTCGGAAAAGGTTATTCGACGTCATTTTTGGTGTCACTTGACAGCATTGGCTAAGTTTTTATCAGTTTTAAAATTCCTATTATCGTTTTTATTCGCGGCAGACTGCGCCCTAGACTTTTGAAATTTTGTCATCACAGTGTCAGAAGTGGTTAGTAAACGTCATTTTATAGCCGGTTTGTTTGCTTTGGCGATAGTTTTTGCGCTTTCTTATAACACGTTGCATTTCTTTAAATTGGCAGCCTGCGCCCGACCTTTCTGAAGGATCTTTGAAATCCCGCATTCTCTTTTCGTAAACTCGCCGCCAATGGTCCGAAAATAGTTTATCCATTCAAAGAACATCCACAGTGACCGTCTGAAACGGGGAATGC